CGGGGTGAGGCGAAGGCGCCGGCCTGGCCCACTTACCCGCCTTAATGTTCCATACGGCCAGGCCTCGGCGCATGCGCACTGACCGTGTCACTCTCCGGCACGCGGAACGCCAACGTTATACATAATACAAACGGGTGACCCCGAGTTTGAGTCCCGTTCGACAAAGGAGAAAAGGGGAAAAAACACACAAAAAAAGAAAACTCTGTTATTTCCGTTTCGCGGTAAAGGTCAGCCCTCACGGCCACTGGCCCGCGCCCCGCGCTTGGTCTTCCCTGCTCGGCGGCGTGCCGATGGGATCCGGACCGGGGGGTTGGTTGGCCCCAGTTCCGGTGCCGGAAACAAAGCTAATTATCCGGCTTGCACCTCTTCCTCCGGTCTGGTGAGCACACCTGGGCCCGACAGCCGACAGCCGGTACGCCACGCCGCGCCACGCCACGCCCTGGCACGGTAACCCCCAGCCAAGCCAATCCCTCCTACTTATCACCTTTACCCGTTAGTACTCTCCTTACTCGTTATAGCAGCAGCGCCTGTCGCTGTCATACTGGAATTAGTCGAAGAAGCAGCAACAACAAAAAACAACAGCCTCACTTTCCCTTTAGATGCGTCATTTTTTCTGAACTATTATTGTTTCTCGCCGCTGTACCAATCCTTCGCGATGGCACCTCATCAGCACCTCGTCTAACTGTAAGTAAGGGGCACTTGATGTACGGGGGCGCTAGAGGCCGCACTGCGCTAACACTTCCCTGTCTCACACACGTGATTACCTGGATTACCCGACCTGAAACCCGTCTTGCTTGAGTGTGACGACGCTAAGGTGGAGAAGTAGGAAACGAGTAAAATAAGCGCACGGAGCCAGTACCTTGCTCCAGGACCCTCTAGAGGGCTTCCTCCTGCTGCAGAGCTGGTATAATGACCAGAGGCTCAGGAGTGGTCCACATCGCAAAAGATCTCCTCAGGATCTCCTCCGACGCCAAGCAGCGCTAGAAGGGGAACATGTAGAAGGGAAGGAAGGATGGGGGGGGGGGGCAGGCGATGATAGGTTTGATGTCCCGTAGGCACGGCCCTGGCCGGCCCGTCGCGCCCCGCCCCCGGGCGTGTCCATGGCGCCCAAGGCCGGCGCAGACAGCAGGATTCATTCAGGAGGTTGAGGTTCGGGGCCGGACAGGTCTCTGCACATCAAGTCATCCGTCCGATCCCCATCCATCCGTCCATCCATCCATCCATCCATCCATCCATCCATCCATCCATCCATCCATCCATCCATCCATCCATCCATACATCCATCCATCCGTCCATCCATCCATCCATCCATCCATCCATTCATCCATCCATCCATCCATCCATTAATCCATCCAGTTGCAACAGGAGCCTACGCCGACGACATGCACCCCGCAGCCGTGGCCAAGCCAAGAAGCCAATTTTAATTTTGAAAAAAAACATAGACGATGGGCCGATACCGAAAGAGAGGAAGTCAGTCCGTTGTTGGGATCCGTGCGACCGAGTCACGCGAACCCTCGGGCAGTCGCACGTCCTCCACGTCGCCGGCCTCCAAAGCCTGCCAAATCCTTGGGGCTGCCGTAGTCGTCTCCGGCGCCCACCCAGGGCTGATAACCGGAGAGGACGAGCAAGGAGCACTACGTTGGAGAATGCAGATGCTCCTGCGTGGTGCGGGCGGGTGGGGAGGGTGGGGCAAGGAAGGGCGCAGGAGGATCCGGCGACCGTTAATTAAAATACCTGCCCCCCTCCTCCCCCTCCTCTCTCTCTCTCTCTTTCTCTGTAATCCACAACGACGGCTGCTCGAGCCTGCTTTGCCGGTCAGGCAACCCGTCCTACTCGACAATCTCCCATGAGTCTCTTGAGCACACCAAGCACACACACGTGACAATGTGAGCCGCGGGGTGCGTGCACACCGCGCCGCCGCCGCGCGGAGCAGCTAGGTGCAGCAGTCCAACGCCTTCCCTCCGCCCCCACCTCGCCCTCCCTCTCGATACGCGCCATGTGTTTCCGTGGGAGAGTACCAGCGGAGCGTGCAGGCGTGCAGGTTGCCCTGGAGCCGCCCCCGCCCCCAGCCCGGAGCCTCTGCCCCGCGGCGCTGCGCGGAGGCCCTGCAGGCCATCGAGTGGAGGGAGGGCGTGGCACAGGATCCCCGACCACGGCGGGCAGCGGCGGGGCGCAGACCAAAAGGATCCCGCCGAGCGACCTCCGTGTCGAGGCCTTATAATGGATCTCGGCTGACGAGGAGGGGGGCGTGCCGAGGGCTTGGACACCCAAGGCAAGTCGAGTAGAGGCTCGGAACGGGCTCCGCTGGGCCTCACGTCACGTCCAGGAGCGAGCGCACTGCGGCGTGCGAGGCACGGTGCGAGGCACGGCCACATTCGCGCCAAACTGCCACTTTCCTCTCCCCGGCCAGTAGGGGAATTCCACGCCTCGCACTTGCAGCCAGACATGGGCACGGACAGGCGCGCCACGCCATACCACGGCGCTGTTTCCAATAAGGGTTTCGCGATAAAAATAAAATAAAAGAAACGTGTATGGCGCAGCAGCTAGCGGCGAGGAGAACAGTGAGGTTTTTTTTCGGTTTGATGCGGGTGGTGGTCGAGCCAGTCGCCGCGATCAACACACCCAGAGAAATAAAAAGCTGTGGCTACCATCGTATGGTTATCTCAGGGACAACGGACAACCATGAAGTTGCGTTTTCACCAAGTGGGCAAATCCATGGTTTTAGTTCTCACTACCTAGTGTTCAACCACTAATTTAAGGCTGTCCCGGTGCTTATCACCCATAGAGGGTGTCACAGATGATATTTTTTTTTCTGGGTGCGGGTCCTCTCCCGCATCGAAGTCACTCGCGGGACGGCCGCGGACCCTGCTGCTGACACCCACACCCGGAGATAAATCCCACCGCGCCATTGAAAGGGCTGCCGTCTCCGAGGTGGGGCCGAGGCGGAGCGCCAACTCCAAACCTCTGACGACGTGGGTCCCATCCTTTATTCCGCCCGTATAGCATGAGGCACGCCGCAGCTCAGCGTCGCTTACCTTGAATACGGGCGTGGCGGGAGAGCAGAGCAAATCCAGCAGCAATTAGGAGGTAATCCCAAAAGTTATATTCAACCGGCGCACACCACTGTCACACGAAACCACTCTCCACTAAACACACACGCGTTGAGGACGCGATAGGGACGCGACGCACTTCACCTCCACCCTCACGGGCGACGACGTCGTCCTGGCTGAGAGCGCCCCGACCACGCGACGTCGTGCTGCTCCAGGTCGGACTCTGTTCGAACACGACGCGTCGGCACACGGTGTGCTCCGGTTAGCTCCGGCTGCCTCACTGGCGGCGTGCCGCGCCGCGTCGAGCCGCGGACCCAACGAACGACGCCACAACGCGGGGGGAGCAGGGAGAGCAGTGCAGGTGAGAGACGTGGGGAGGCCGGTGAGAGAGGGGGCATTGGGGG